AGAGGAGGGAGGGTGGGCCAGGTGGAGGAGGCTGTGGAAGGAAGCCTGGAGAGAGGCAGAGTTCGAGCAGGAGCGGAGCTGTGGGGAGAAACGGCTTCTCGGCCCCTCACTGAGCTGTCCCAGACCTCGCCACTGTCCACAGTATGAGGTGGGCACCAGGAGCCAGACAAGCAGGGGTGGGTTCCAGCTGGCTGCCTTTGTGCTGCCTCAGGCCTCACTGCGTGGAGGCAGCTGCCCCTGAACCAAAACACCTGCAAGGAGCAGTGTGCAAATCAGTGGACTGGCTGCAGGGCCAGGGAATGGATGCTGCCCTCCTGTCTCTCAGAAGAGTCACCAACCCAGCTTCCGACCTGAGCCATGGCAAGGCCCTCACCAGGTCACCTCACGTCATGTAACATGCAGTGACCTCGCCGGGCCACCCTCTGCTGTGGCACACACGGTGACCTCGCCAAGTCACCCTCTGCTGTGACACACAAGTACCCTCTCTGGGCCACCCCTGTTGCAGGACACACGACCTTGACCAAGCCCAACCAACGTCTGCCAGAACATGGAGACATTCTGTGAAGAGCAGAACGCCAGGCACTGAGGAAGGGCCACTGTCACCACGTCATTCTGCAGCAAACACCGGGACAGCTGTGGGCCTGGGGCTGCCACGACCCACTGGCCATCTTAACATTGAGGCTAGCCAGCATGAGCCCCCCCGGAACATGCAGGGCTGTGCCAACCACACACTGAGCCCCTGGAGAAGGCCACTCACAGTCTCCAGTTGGCAGATGCCAAGAGGCCTTGTCATCCCCTCGCCACTGGAGAGGGCACTGTCTACAGTTGAAAGGGGGTCCCAGGGCACCAGCAGGCAGGCATTTGCTTCTCATGGGGCTGTGAGGGAGCCATTAAGGCAGGGACCCTGGGTGCCCAGGAGTCTGACCCAAGGTTGCACCCTCAGCAGTCTGCGAAAAGCTGAGTGTGTGGTGGGCTGGCCACTCACAGAACAGCCGGGGTGGCACAAAGGCAAAGGAACAGGTGTACCGTCATCTGCCACGCCAGTCGAGTGTGAGGCAGTAAGTATGGAGATGGCTGGGGAGGTGGTGTTGGAGGGCGCTCTTACCCTCTGTGTGTCCTGTGGAGAATGGGCCATCAGGGGCACCGGGCAAGGCCACAGCAGGCAGAGTGTATGGCGGCTTCACACACAACTGGTAGGCACCTCAGTGGGTCTGGAGGGGGAACGCAGGGCCCGAGAGGACAAAAACCAGCTGGAGCAAGAGAGTGCTCCCTTCTGGGCGGAAGAAAGAGGTTCACAGCCTCTCCAGGGCGAGCCCAGGCCCCGCAGAGCAGACGGGTCTGCCTGAGGCCCCAGGTAGAGGGATGTCAATGTTAACCTAGGTCTACTGACCCCAAACCCTTAGTTCTGACCCCTTAACACCAAGCCACTTCTCTTCCTTGCCAAGGAGCCAAAACAATCGAAGCAGAAACTCACCCTGCCCGCACCTACATGGTGCCCGACAAGGCACAGTCTGTCAAGACAACAGAACGTGGCCTCTATCCTCCAAAGGCTGAGCTTCTGGGAAGAGACCTATCAGCAGGGCTGCGCTCTGACGTTATGTGTACCACTCATCCCCCACATCCAGTGTCCACCACAGACAGGAGCATGCTCAGGTCTTCAGGGGACCCTAAAGACTGAGGGGGTCTAGCCCTCAAGGAACAGCGAGCCTAATGTAATAAAACTTCCTGCGGAGTTAACTGTCGGGCAAAACAGAAAGCGACAGATGTCCCAAGAGGAGAACCAAGGGAAGAAAAGGGCCCATGTCTGGGGAACCCAGGAAGACTTCCAGGGGAGGGCACCTGTGAGCTAGACCCAGGCAGAGAGAGCACAGAGTAGGTGGGACTCAGGGCTGGGGTCCCGGGGACAAACAGGTGCAGGCAAGCAGCTTCTGTCTGCATAGGCTTCACCGCTCAGAATGAATTTCTGACACCCTGGGTAGGATCTCCATGACTGAGATCGACTCTGCCAAGCACTGTGGCAGGTGTGCCAGGAGCATGGCCCTGCACACTCCTGGCAAGTCAGATACAACTGTGCCTGCCTCACAGACGAGGGCTTGGACACCCAGTCAGAGCCTTGCAGTGATGGAAGACTTGGGCACCAACCCACACGTCCAACTCAAGTCAGCATCTTGCCTGGGGGCTCTAGCCCTGGCCTGCTGGCAGGCTCCCCATACCAGGCCCACCTAGAGATGTTGGTGCTGTCTCTGATTCGACAACGCATAATGTCCTTCCATCCTTTACTTAATCTCCCCAATCCTGTGAGGCTTCAGGAAAACACAGCCCGCGTTGAACACGTGGAAAGTGACTGAGCTGAGTGCACACTTCATCCCCCGAAGCTGTCCTCCTGACCCTGAACCCCAGGATGCCGCCAGGAGGTTGGAAAGGGGCCTTCCGTGGGCAACAGGCCCGTTATCATGTCAGTGATGGAGAGTTGAGCCAGCAACCCTGCCTTGCCTGTCCTGTCAGGGAGGTGGTCTCCCCCTCTGTGGCCTCCAACCCAGCACACCCAGTCCTCAGGCCTTCGAAGACATGTTCACACAGACGTCGGGCACAAGCCTTGGGAGGTACAGAAGGGGCGCCAGGCAAGAGCTGTGGGGCCTGGTGTAGACCTCTGCAGTGACTGTGGTCCTGAGAGGGACTCCGGACGAGTCCAGGTTTCCCATGTACTTGCATGTCCATCAGTCCTGGGGTGAGCAGAGCCAGGGTTCCTGCAGGTCCTGATGGTTTCTGTCTAGTCTACTTTTCCATCCTGGGGGTACCCTATTCACCTCTCCTTGACCTCAGGGACCTGGGGGCAGAGACAGCTCAAAGGTGAAGAAGGGGCAGGCAGTCCTGCCCAAGCTGTGAGATCTCAAAGTGTGGTCAAGGTATCCCAAGGACGGCCACCTGGGGAGCGGCCCCAAGCCCTCTGCTCTCAACATCCTGCCATAGCCGGGGCCTGGGAGAGGAGAGGAGACAGAAGGCTATGGCATGGAGCTCCAGTGCTGACTCCCAGCAGGGACAGCAGCAGAGCCTCACTCGAGGGCGTGATGGGGGAGGATTTGGTGTGTGGCAAATCTGAGGGCACCCAGGTAGAAGTGAATTTAGAGGCCCACGGAGTCTGTAATGGATAGTTAAGAAGCTACTTGCAATGTAAAGCGATGTAGTGGCATATACAATATAATCCCAGGATCCCAATCTTGTAAATGTAAATTAATATATCTCTAGGTGTGCCATGTATGAGACACTGAAACGAAAAACATCAGTGTTAACGGTGTTGTCTTTTAGAGGCAGGATTATGAGTGAATTGCTTTCTTCTTCTGGATTTTCAACAATCTATAAACACAATACTTTGGAGTGTTTTTCCAAGGCTTCATTGGAGTTAGTTTTCATAAGATCAATCACTTCAGCTAAAGCACATGCAAGAATCCAGTGGAAACCATGCCTCTTAATTTATAAATGTTGATATGACAAGTGATACGTTAAATAGTGATTGTTCATAATACACCCTTATTTACCTAATCTTTTTAAAAAAAACATGAGATTTCTACAATGTATTAAATTAAACACCCATCAATGATCCTGAATTATGCAAAAGCATACAGAATTATGCAACAGTGAAGTACATTCCTGATAACCTATTTATGTAAAGACTTTGAATGTTTGAATATTTATTTACTTATTCAAAGGTTTGAGAGTTTCAAGAAGTGTAAAAATGAATGCAAGTGATCTGAGGAGTCTGAAAAAACCTAGAAGACACCGGAGAACCCAAAGCACCGCGCCTGAGATGCAGCTCTGGCTGCACAGACGGAGTGAGGCCACGGGGAAGGGGGCAGGTTGGCGTGAGGGGAGGGCCGCCAGGCTAGAGTAGAGGCTCAGTGTTTTGTGTGCTATTAAATACCACTTCAAAGGCAGCCATACTGGGCCCAGCATTTTTATAAAATGAAAGTTGGTTCTTTGTTTCTATAAAGAAGTGCAGGGACAGCAGCCTGCAGCCAGTTTAGACAGCCACTTCATACCTTGGCAGTCCTGAGTGGGGCCAGTCTCTGTCTGTCCTGACTTCCCACAGTCAAGCCTGACTGACCTTTCCTGAAGCAGCCACTTACTACGCCGGGACCATGACACCCTGCCAGAACCACGGTACCATCATCCTGAACGGGAGGTTAAGCCACTGGGGCAGTGATGGATAGGCCCTTGTCATCCTAGATTTCTAGCTGCTCGATGTCCATGTGGGACATTCCTATCCTTGCGGTCAGCAGGTGACTCCCCTCCTTCACCTACTGGGCTCTGCTCACCCTGAGGACATATCCGCACAACTGCGCCAGCCCAGAAACCTGGAAACTGCCAGCCACAACTGCAAACAGGCCCTCCAGGCCACATGGCCCCTCTGTGGGGAGTCCCAACCTTACCAGTCATGGGCCAGCATTGTGCATGGGGCACACACGGGCTCGGCCTGCCCCACCTGCTCCACCTGCTCCCAGAGACAGGCCCACTGTCTGGGGCCCCAGCCAGGACTGGCCAGCAAGTTTCAAAAGAGCACAGCCCGCATGTTCAGCGTTCCTTTCCCCTGCTGCTGGCCACACCTCATGCTGGCCTCTGTCACAGTCCAGCAATGCAGATGGCAGCTCAGAGGGCACCCTGCCCGGCCCCACACAGATGTTCACACATCACTCCTGCCCTGCACAATGTGCTGCCTCTGGACAAACGGATACACACACGCACCCACCCTGATGGGACGATGCCCAAGGACCGACCCACAGAGGGCAGGCACAAAGAACGGAAGTCAGAGAGGGGAGGCCAGGGCCCTGCTCACCCAAGAGGCCCAGGCTCAGGAAACCACAGGGGCGATGAGTGTACCTCTCTCCCCACCCCACGAATCGAGGCTGCTCCAGTCAAAATGTGGTCAACCACTTGAGGGTTGACAGTGGGAGCCCCGCTCCGGGTGGGGAGGGGAGTGGGCAGCCGCCACAGGGAGGGCCTACCTTGAAGATGAGGCAGTCGGTTTGGCGCTCAGCATACTGCGAAGTCAGCCGGTACTGGTTTTCCGTGGTGATGTCGATCTGGTAGCCCGTGAGTGTGTAGCAGACCTTGCGGAATTCCTGGATCTTGGTCTGGAAAACCTCCTTCAGCCGCTGGTTCTTCAGCTCGGCACTTTCTACCTGCTTCCTCAGCTCTGCGGAGAGGAACAGAAGGTGGGGGTTGAGCGCAGCACCTAGAGACAAGCGACAGTGATGAGGCCGCAAGCCCCGAGAAGGGCAGGGGGAGGCTGAGTTCAAATGTGAGTGGTACCGGCCCATGGGGCGGAGACACCGCATGCCACTTGACAAGCCATGATCTGTGTGCATGAGGAAATACACATGAGAAGGACAAGCCAGCATACAGCCTGACTGTCTGGGGATGACGGTAACGAAGTTACTGTGTTCAGAGCAGGCCCTTGTGAGGCCAGACGTTGATGCCAGACACCCACCTGCTCCAAGTTCAGACGGCACCCGGCCTTACTCTTTTCACAATTGCCAGCTGAGAGTGACAGTGACAGCGAAACCCCCAAGTCACGGTTGGGACGCCACAGGGCTAGTTGTGATCTGGGAGTGGACCTGCCCCAACTGACCAGCAGATTTAGGCACAGCCTGGTAATTCTGACAAATTATCCCCAGGCTGATGCCCTGGTCCCCGGCTTCTGCAGTTGGAGGCCTGCCCCACATGACCAGCACGGAGAAGCAGGACAGTAGACAGATTCCAGATCTGATGGCCTGGGGCTTTCCACCTGCTGCCACTTCTGAGGAGACCCTGGTGAAGAGGCATCCTGGGCATGAGGCCTCAGTGGGCTCCAGGCTGAGCTGTGAGACGACAGCCGACCCTGCCCAGGCCCACCATCCTCCCTTGTGGCTCTGAGTGGACTGCGTAAAACGTAAGCCCCTGCCCTGCCATTCGTACCTACTGTAGCTGACTGCTGCTTGGGGTGAACCTGGTGATGCAAAGTCATCACAAGGATAACGACGATTCCCGCAGATGCTCCACCCAAGGTGCCTTCCAAGTAATCAAGCCACCATGCATCGCCCATTATCAAGATTCCACGTAACACACATGGGGCCATCCCAGAGACCCAGTCTGGAGCCGTCGGTGGGTTTGAGCAAGAGCTGGGCCAGCTGCCCCCCACGATGATGAGAGCTCGAGCTAAGTCATGGGACCAGTGTGGGGTCCCATGTACAGGCACAGTGATGGGCAGCTCCCTGAATGGGCCAAGAAAGGGCCATTAAAGTCAGCCACGGTCACCTGGTCAGAGAGAAACCAAGGATTCCAACCCACAGAGTGCCCGGGAAAGGCCGGCCCTGAGTGGGAGATGAGTCTGAAGACCATGGGGATGCCTCTGAGCAGGCCCAGCGTGGGTCCTGCAGCACCCATTCTGGGGGAGCCAGAAGAAGGGCGCACATCCAAATGCCTGGCGCCCAGTTCACAGAGACAGGGAGATGAGGGGCTGAGGGTGAGCTCATGCACTGTGGCCCCATGAGACTTGGAGGGGCCAATTTGAGGTGGATGGAAGCAGTCAGAGTAGCTTCCTGGAGATGAGTGGGAACGGGAACCTGTGCTCTGGGGAGGAAAGCCCAGTGGAAATGGAAGGCTGTGAGTGCTGGGAGGCAAACAGAGAACCAGGGGAGAGGCTGCATTCCCAACCTGTCTCTGCCCTCTTCTGGCCTGTGACCCTGAACCTGTCCCTTCACCCTGCGTCTCAGGATCTTTATCTGAAATAGGAACAAAGGCACACAGCTGCCCTCAGAGGCTGTGGAGAGGATTAAACCAGATCACATGCCAGAAGCAGCCCACCGCTGAGAGCACAGGGCTCTCACGTACCACCCCGCTCACGGTGCGAGCTCAGGCACCCACTCCACGTCACACGCACACACGCGCTTCACTGCTGTGTCACTGTGATTCCCACTTCACAAACGAGGAAGCTGAGCTCAAGGAGATGAGCCACGTGGCCACAGAGAGGAAGGGCACAGGGACAGCTGTCAACCTCCCTGCCTGTCAGGGGCCGGGGTGGGCAGCCTGGTGTGAAGCATGTTCTAAGAGAGGTGCCTGGATATCAGGGACTGGGAGGAGAAAGGGGCCCGCACAACCCTAGCCTGTTGACAGAGGCACCATGCATGACATTCGTCCACCTGCAGGGCCGCAGCCATCTGCGCCAGCCCAGCCAGTCGCCTGGGCCTGCCTGTTCCTCGTCATGCATGCAGATGGCCCTGGTGGACGTTGTTATTCCACAGCTGAGAGCCCCTCCAGCAGGACGTGGGCTCAGGCCCTTGATGAACGAGTCATCAGACTGCACAATTCAAAGGTTAACTGGCAGCTCTGACCCCAACATTCTTCCCTGTGTCCCTTGGCCAATCCTCCCTACAATGGCGCCGTCAGCAGCAGAAAAACGCTTGTGCCGAAGGAAAACTTCACTGACCACACTTCAGAGGCGGAATTTCACCCCTGTCAGGGACCACACTGCCTTTAATATATCTCAGGTGTCCAAAGGGAAAAAATTAAATTTTGGTAATAAGCACAGCCTGACCTGGGAAGAGGAAATAGCCCCCTTTTCCACAGACAGCAAAGCTGCCTTTGTGCTGCTCACAGACTTCTAAGAGCAGCCGGGGCTCAGGTCTGCGCAAGGCCCACCCTACGGTGGGTTGGCGCTGGGTCCCCAGGAGGGGCTGGAGGTGTGCGGGGACTCCTCTCCGAGACGGGGCTGCCACCTGCCACCAGTTGGGAAGAGCAGTGGCTGCTGCACTTGCTCTTGGGGCACGGACTGGCACCCACCACAGACCAGGTTCGTGTGGGCCCAGTGCTTCAGGTAGGTCCACTGCCCTCTGGCAGGCAGAAGGATGTGGAGGGAAATGGCTGCCTCAAGCCCACACGGATGCTCAGAGGTGAAGGGCTGTGGCCAACCTGCCCAATCCAGGTGGAGGGAGGCTCCAGCTCTGGTGAGGCCACCTCCAAGAAGTGGGTTCTGTCTGGGGCACATAAAAGTCAGTGTTCAGCCTCCGCATATCCTTGTCGTCTGACGCTTACATAAATGTGAATGAATAATTCACATGAGGGTTTAGAGGAAATAAATAAAAGATGGCTTCTACCCTGGAGCTCTCGTTGCTTTCTTGCTGGCTGCTCCCATGCAGCCTCTTTTCCAAGGGAGCCAGGAGCCCGGTCTCCTCTGGGTTGGCTCCATAGGTGCTGGGCTGGGCAGATTCCACTCAGGGACTCCAGCAGCTGAGTGGTTAAGACCCCAGGGTGTGTGGTAATCGATCTACACTCCATCCCATCTCCAGGACCACGCAGGCACTGCCAGGCCATTCTCAGACCTGGCTTGCTGGTGACCATGCATGGGCAGCATTAGCAGAGTTAGGGCCCTGCAGAGTTCCTGGCCCACCAACCCCAGACCTGACCTGCTGTGTACACACCAAGGCCACCTGCTGGGACAAAGCCCTGGGTACCAGCAGCTTTGTTCTCTGGGGTGTCCTGGCCAAGGGCTCTCAGTCCCTCTCCTCCTGGACCCCAGATTCAGGTCCAAACCGACAGGAGGTGCTGAGGCCATTAGAGCTCTAGCCCAGACTCACCTCTTGCCTTTCCTGGCCTAGGACCCTAGACTCCAACCACAATGACCAGGAGCAACGGACTGTGAAGTACCCTCTCCCCTCTGCCCTCCCTCCTCATGTGCAGACCCCCCCTTCCCTGCCCGACTCCCCAGGTTCTCGCTCCACACCCTCTGGGACCCCCAGCCTGCTCTAGGCAGAGCTGCCAGCTCCCTCTCCCAGCTCCTGCTGCTGCCCTTTGAGGGCGTTTAGGACGCAGGCCTGGTGTTGACAGGCTCTCAGGAAGCCCTTGGTGAGGGACAGCAGAGGAAGCAGAACCCAGGAAGACGAGTGGAGGTGAGACATATTGCCACCCAGATCCCAATCCCAGAGCCAGTGCAGGGTAGGATGTCCAGGGGGGGTCAAGAGGGCATGCAAGGCCAGGGCCCCTGCAGCCCCTGACATGCTGACCCACGGCCCCTCCACCATCTTAGTCCCACCTCTGCCTCATCCTGGACTTGCACAGGGCAGCTGTGAAAAGTTCTGTGCAAGGACACCCAATAAAAATAAATTGCCCTCTATTACATAAAGGCTAGCAGGGAAGCACGGCTTTACCCCCAAGAGCAGTGATGTCAGGATAAAGGCTCACTCATGGCACTTCTCTCCCAAGATCCAGTCCACAGCCTGCGATGTGGAGAAATGGCCTTATGAGGGAGGGGCAGGGAGAGCAAGCGAGAGGCAGGCGGACCAGTGGGCAGATACAGAGGTGCGGTGAGCGCAGGGCAGACCAGAGAGAGAAACTCAAGCCGCTTGGATGTGGCGGAACCAGCAGCTGGTTGTGTAGTCCATTGGTGGCAGGTGACGGCTGGGCCTCTAACAGACTCTAGTGCGTGCAGCTGCAGCAACTCTGTATCAGTTTAAGGCGAGGAGCAGGAGATAGGATGGCAGGTGGAACAGGCCTCTGTCCTTTGCCCTGATACCCCTGCCTGAGTTGTTTGCGGGTACGCTGTGGGCCGGCCCACCCGGCACTGAAGGCAGCCTCGCTGGCTTCTGGTCAAGCCCATGGGACTGCCGCCCACATGCTGTGATGGAGACTCAGGGGTCCATGCCTTTCAGAGGAAGGAAAAAGGAAAGACCTAGCACTTCCTCTAAATCCTATCTATTCCTTGGAGTGACAAGGGGCACATGAAGAGGAGAGAGAACAGAAAAGTTTCTAGAAATGCAAATGGCTCTGGGAGAGGCCCAGGGACCATCTGTGCTCTGCCTTCCCTCCCAGGGCTCGAGCTACATTCACACCGGAGCCAGGCCAGCCCAGAATACACCGAGGCTGCCAGGGTGGGTGGAGCCTCAGAGTGCCAGTGGACCTTCCCTGGGTCTGGGGTCTGGGCTCTGGCTTGGCTGCCTGCCCTGGGATGGGGCCCGCCAGCTGCCCAGGCCCTGGTCCAGAGGCTGCCTCCTGTGAAGCAAAGAGGTCCCGGTTCCCCCCAGGCTCCACTTGCTCTCTCCTGGAACCCCTTGAGGAATGGCTTTCTGTGAGCGGGGCTGGCCTGACTCATGCTATGTTCCAGAATGATCTTAGCAAGAGCCTGAGTGCTCCAGTTAAGCCCAGTCTTATGGGAGGATCAGG